ATATTCCCATTGCTATGTCCAGAGATCCCCGCTGTTGCACAATATGTGGACTTGTATGCAGGTCACTAGAGGGACTGAAGTGTCACATACGGCACAAACATAAAAATATATGCGATCGAAATCAACGGGAAAGTCCATCACACACACACACACACACACACACACACACACACACACACACACATATATATATATATGTTAGGAAATGCTTTAATCACGCATATTTTTAATTTATTTTAAACGTTATTTTAAATGAATACTACATTTGAGTAGATAAAACTGAACATTTATTTATTAAACTGTATATTTATTTATTTACTTCTATCGGACTCAGTATTCGAGAAATCTTGTTAGGGCGCATATATTTCGAACAAGACTTCTCGAATATCCAGGCCGATAGATGGAAATAAATAAATATATTGTTTAATAAATAAATAAATAAAAACAGAGCATCTGCTCCAATAGAGGTAACCATTTAAAAATAACGTTTAAACAAATAATTTAAAAATATATGGAGAACCTTCATTGGATCTGACGTGCCTAACCGTTCGGCCATGTAGGACATACGGTCAAACAAAGAATAATGCTTGTGAATTTAGGCACTTCAGATCCAATGACGGTTCCCCATAGAGGATGCACATTTGAGTCCAGCTGGGGCGGGGGGGGTATATTTTTCTGACATGATTTCTCGTATATTCATACCAGCAGATGTAGCCAGATAAAAAACATTGTTTAAAAAACAGAGCTTCTATTCGAATATGATTATCCATAAAACATAACGTCTGAACAAAATAAATAAAAAGTACAAATATGTGGGATTTAATCCAATTTCTATGTGTGTGTGTGTGTGTTTGTGCGTGTGTGTGTGTAAGCTATAATTTTAGAAAGTGTTTATTTCACTGAAATGTATTTGAAAACTTTTTCATTTGAAATCAAGAAAATAGGAACTTTAAGCAAAATGGTCAAAATATATGGAAAAAAGAAGACATCAGTTTAGCACATATCAATCTGGTGTCAGTTTAAACTGACGCCTTATATCTTTTCCATATATCTAAACTAATTTGAAACAATAGTTTCAGAAATTGAAAATTTCACTGAAAAATTTCCAATTTTTCATTTGAAATCAAGAAAATACAAGTTTAAGGAAAATGGTCACAATATATATAGAAAAGTATTAAGCGTCATTTCACACTGACGTCTGTGAGATATGGGTTTATGCTGATGAGGATGGGAATAAACACTGAAATATTAAGCAAATTAACAATTTCTATTTTAATAATAAAGAATTAGTTAAGTATTTTTACAGAAGTCATTTATTGCTTGTTATAAAACACTTTTCTTCGAACAAGACATCATCATCATCTTCCTCCTTATTACCATTATCATCATCATCATCATCAAAGTCGTTGTCGTCGTCATCATCATCATTATCATCATCATCATCGTGATCCTCATCCTCATCATCATAGTCGTTATCATCATCATCATCATCATCAGTATTATCTTCATCATCATCATCGATATCATCCTCCTCTTCCTCACCATCATCATCATCATAGTCGTTGTCATCATCATCATCATCAGTATCAGCTTCATCTTCCTCCTCCTCCTCCTCCTCATCATCATAATCGTTGTCATCATCATCATCATCGTCTTCATCATCATCATCAATCCCATGACCAAGTGTGGTCGTCGGGTTGCGACGCGCCTGAGAACCTGACCAGTTCCCTCTACATATCTCGGCACAGTTTCACCAAGACTTGCTCCTGTCATCCATCCACTATCACTGTATCTAACTAACGCCTTTATCCACTGTGCCATGTGTCTTTGAGGAGCGAAATAAAGGGTTCAGATCGACATTCCAACCACCTGAAGAAGACCTGAGCGTACAACTGCCGAAACGTTGGGATAAATATGGCAACAAAGATGAAGATTATAGTCCGAGCAATGTAAATAGTTCAGTACTCATTTCGGTAAATTTGCAGATTAAGCCTCGGAAAGCAATTGTAATAAAAATTTCCATTCTTGTGTAAATTTATATGATTATTTCGAAAATAACAATAAAAGTTTACAGAAGATAGCCGTTTAGGAGTTATCGACAATATAAAATCGGCCTCATTCACGTCGCGCTTACAGCCCGGTCGTCATACATTTGCCTCGAGTAGTAATGCGAGGAAGCTTCACTTGTCTTGATTACTGCGCAATGCCAAAAATTTAAATTAAATTTCACGAATTGCGTAGCAATCAAAACGAGTAAGAAGATCAGTAAAAAATGCCGGTAACTAAGTAACCTTCCGCGCATTACTACTCGAGGCAAACGTATGTAAACAATGCCAGTAATGGTAGCCGGGCTAGACGCGAATAAGGCCGAACTTATATTGTCGATAACTCCTAAACGGTTTTATTCCACAAACTTTTATTGTTATTTTGGAATTAATAAGGCAATTTCACACCAGAATAAAATTTTTTATTATAACTGGTTTCCAGGAATTTATCTGCAAATTTACCGTCGTTTCTTTGTTTCTAACGATATTTTCCTATTTCTTAATACTTTGCTCGGATTTTGCAAGGCATCTTTCGCTATCTCGATGCACCATCCGATTTCCGTGTTGCTCTTTTCATCCTTTGTTCATACACTTCCCATATACCTAAGTTGTTGCACAGTATATTTCCGCGTATAGGACGACTTTTAACCCCCCACCTCCACCCTAATCACCCTTAAAAATTGGGGGTCTCTTATACTACAATTCTGAAAAAGAAAAAAGAGCCCTTATATTCTGAGTGATCTTTGTTGGTAGGCTAACCTTGACCTTGGTGCCATAACCAATAACGTACATGAAAAGATTGACATTATTAAATAAACCAATAATAAAAGTAATAAAACAAGTTCTACCTTATATATTACTGTCATAACTTCATAATAAATTGTCCATTCCATATGGAACTCATCTTCTATCCATGTAAGCTCAGGTAAGATAATGTAAATTCATAAAGTCTAGGTACCATAGAGAAAAGTTCATCACAGCAATTGCCATGAAACTATTTGTAGAAAAGGTACGGAAAAACTACGATACGTCGATAAGAACGAGATGCCAGGTCAGGACCAATAAAATTGCAGATTCATCTTTGAATTTTATCAAGAATCTCTAAATACATAGCAAAACCAGCAAACCTGTTGTGGCAGCCATATTCAAAGCATTGACAAATGTTCGACTTATAACTATGTAATATACATTCTGACGAAAAAAATTGTCTAACTCGATACAGTGAACCAATTTTCCTAGCAATTCATTCAATATAGTCTGTCCAATATAGTCAGCGTCAAAAAATTGCCCGTGAAAGCACAAAGAGTGACTCTCCTGGAGGTTAGCATCAGTCATGCTGATGGAAGGCGAAAATTGTTCTCTGAGACGATTAAAAGAGAACAGTTTCGTCTTGGAGTGGTTTAATTTAACAAGCCATTTCTTGCCCCAGTTAACAACAGATTGCAGGTCATGTTTTAGTTCAGCGGCCAATTTGAACTTATTGAACAGACTAGACTTGCTATTAAGACACGAGTATGCTAAACCCTGTCAAATGCCTTCGAGATATTGAAGGTGGCAGCCAGCTTATCAACCCCTATTGGTTATCTAAATATTTTGAACACAATTGCATATCTTTAAATACAGACAAAATGTATTGTTAGTCATTTTGCTAGAAAAATGTACTGCTGGTCATTTTTCTGTAAATAATTATTTTTGGTCATTTTACTATAAATAGATATTCAATGATTGTGTTCACAGCAACCTTTATCTTTTGCTTAATTTTTAGATGTTTGTAGGAAAAAACAGAATATATAATCGGTTTTGTTATATCGTTTATTTTAAATATCTAAGGATACAGTAACAACATTTCCAATAACATCATCTCTATATAACCAATAAGCAGTCGTCTTATACTATAGGTATAGGATAAATTCATGAGAATTTGCTAGATTTTTTACCTCGTCTTATTTAAATGTCGCCTATACGCGGAAATTATATTAACAAGCGTAATTAAAAAGGCGATCAAGAATTTTCGATACATGATTGACGAGGCAGATTTTTCCTTCATTTAGAGTTGCCATTTCTTTCTGCGGTAGACCAGTTTTGTTTCTCCATTATAGAACCCGGTCTGTCCAGCTATTTACCCATAGCTGGAAGGAGGAGGAGAGGATTCAAACTTTTTGAAACCGTTCAGAAGTTAATATAATGGATTCGAGTTATTCCTCGAAACTCTGCTCTCAGATTCCTCAATCCGCGCCTCTATTCATTACTCCAACGTGCCTTATTTTATTTTGTCTCCAATTTGTGATTTGCATATTGGTCTGTTAATTTTGCTAAAAACTATGGATTCAGTCTTCTTGCAATTGACGTTTAGTCCTTTCTTCACGCTTTCCTTCACAACCATCTGTAGTCGGTGTTCCTGTAGTTTGCTTTCTGGGTCTGCTATCAACATGATGCCACCTGCATATATAAGATTGTGGCCGCCAATAATGAATTCTGGTAGGACTTCTAATTCTCTCAGAATGGCCTCGCTGTATAGGTTGAAAAAAATCTGGTGAGAAGATGCGTCCTTTTCTTACAGCCCTTTTTATTTTTGTGTATTTACTGAAATCCTTTCCTATCTGTATACTGGCGGTTTTCTGCCAGTACAGGATTTGGATTATTCTAATAATTTGGACCATAGTTTGGACAAGACATGTTGTCACTTGATTTCTAGTGGCAACCACCAGATACATCTGAAGTGAAATTGCAAATGTGTAAAATAATAATAGTAATAATAATGCGAGTGAATATTTCTACTACTAATAATAACAGAAGAAAAAAATAATTGGGAGATTCGTTCCCATTTTCGCATCCTTTCTTCTCCCATCCACCACTCTGCCTCCGTTTCGCAGTTACCATGTCAGCCATTTGCCTCTTCCTGTGGCCCCTACTAGCTGGAACTGCTTTGAAGCTCTCCTGAAATATTAATTTCCTATGACTGATGAGTCCACCAGGTGTCGTTGCCTGCTCCAGGTGTGGTCCAAAAGGACCACCAAATTCTCAGTTGAGTTCGAGTACCGCGAGAGGGCGCTAAAATCTGTTATTCTTTCTCCCTCCCACTGCACCCTTGTTGTCTTGGACGCTCTAATATCAACAGATACGTCAAGCATGCGCAGGACTATAGGCAGTGAGTACGCATGCGCGAATGTGTACGTTGCAGTCGTATAGATAATGTAGTTATTTTGAGTATTTTAAACGAGTGTGCCGGGCGTAGAGTGAATATGGTGAAAATGCCTATCGATTCGACACTCATATCTTTGAAAGCTGGTTTTAGATTTTAAGAAAGGTTTCTATTATTGTATAATACTTTATTTTCTCTTTTCACTACTTTCATGGCCGTTCTGATACTTTATATCGTAAAGTTTTTAACCGTTCTATTCTTGTTTTTTTTTGTTTTGTTTTTTTTCTTAAATTAAACTGCGGGAGTTCGGAAGACTAGAATCGAATTGGCATTCCATATTTATCATCATGAACAATAATGTGAGAGTCAGAGTTCACGTGGTCCCACCGGTCGTCCAGTGGTCAGAAAATTCCGTTGAAAGATGAATTTGTATACCTTATTCAATTATTCCTTTCTCTCTCAAAAAAAAGAAAGAAAAACATTCCAAATAAAGCGAAAAGTAAAAAAAAAAAAAAAAAAAAAAAAAATTGAAATTATTTTAAATGTATTTGGACGGTCCTACCAATATGAACATGAGAAAAAGTATGGAGATGTACGAGTTTATTATAATGGTATGGATTAAATAATAAAATTATCCTCCATTTCTTTAAAAATGAAAATTGGTTTGAATAACGGATTTTTATATTCTCCATTTTACAAGACGCTTCGGCTTGACAGACGCACCCTAATATTGGAAAGAAATGGCTAAGAAAAAAAAGTAATACTCATACAACAACACATTCACCATGCGTCCTTCACATATTGGCGCCACGTATTCCTTACATTAATCAATCGTCCGATTTTGATTTTGACAATGACATACTAGTCAAGAGCAGAAAGGCTCCTTCTATGTAGCAAACAAGCATGTTTATACTTGTGGCTCGGCATCCAATGAAGGTTCATAGTCTTGCAACTAGATGTAACAGCTCTGACTTTATTTACATCACATAAAAGGAAAGTCAAATTAGATAGCTAACATTATAGTGTAATTATTTAAATACAAATCCACGTCCCCTATCAGTGAAGTAATTTAGGTGACCGTCCAAGCAAATTGAGCCTCGGCGTTGCTTTTACATTTACAAAAAAGACACACACGTATTTTTCAGGTTATTTTTATTGAAAAAAGTAAATCTTGCAAGCCAGAAAATTAATCGGTAATTCTGAATTTATAAAGAATGGATAAATACAATGGGTAACTACTGACTATCTTTCCCAATGTCATGACATTTGACTGATAATAAAGAAATGGAATCTGTGAAGAGCCATTTTCACCCATATTTTGAAGGAATAAGATATTTAAAATGTTTTATTGGGTCAAATAGCAGGGTAGATTTTACTAAAAGCCTTTGGGTTAAAATTAATTTTGAGAAAACAAAAACTCGTGAATTCAAAAACTGAAGCTATATTGAAATATTAATTTCCTATGACTGATGAGTCCACCAGGTGTCGTTGCCTGCTCCAGGTGTAGTCCAAAAGGACCACCAAATTCTCAAATTAAGATCGAGTTTCGCATATAAAAGGCGCTAAAATTTTTATTCTTTCAAAATCCAAAAGCACTTTTGTTGTCTTTAACGCTCACAAACAAAAATTACACAAAACATGCGCAGGACTAAGAGCAGTGAATTACGCATTTAAATGAATAGTCCTTTTTATCTCGCCTTCCTACACCACCTTTTGTGGGTAGTCAAGAAGCTACCTCCTTATCTTTCCCAATAATGAATATTATATATAGATAAACAAAGCAATTAATGCTAGAGGTATAGTTGCCTTATTTTGGTACTTGAAGGATATGGCTTTAAAAATGTAAAAGAAGTACTTAATGAATTAGAGATTATGATGGTGATACTGGTGGTGATGATGATGATGAAATTAAAAATATTAGTTTTTCGCAGGCGGATAGCAGAAGATTCCTTTCAAAAGCTAAGCAAAGTATTAAGAAACATAACATTTTCGTTAGAGAAAAAAAAGAAAAGGGTACGGAATTATGTAATATCAGTCTTCCGATATGGCAGCGAATGCTGGACAATCGCCTCACAGATGAAGAATATACTTGAAGCAACGGAAATGTGGTTCTACAGAAGGATGCTGAGAATATCATAAACCGAATATGTAAGCAACAGTAAAGTTTTAGAGAAAAAGGAAGCACTAATGGAACTTATAGTTAACATCAGGAAGACGCAGTTGAAATTTCTCGGACACATAATGAGGAAAGAGGGTTTGGAAAAAATTGATTCACAGGATATTATTGATGGCAAGAGGGACAAAATAAACGACAATTCATAAATTTGGGTAGTTTAATTGAGTAAATGGATGGCGAAACAGAAATAAGAAAAAGATAAAATTTTATTAAGAGCTACAAAAGGCAAAATGTTGTGGAATTTTCTGATCGCCTACATCCTGAAGGGAGATTCATTAGATAAGAAGAAGAAGAATTTTAGAAGAAGAAAAAGCATCGTAAAACAAGAAAATTATTTTTTTTTTTGCTAAATTTAATTTTTTTTTTACCATGTAGTATACGGCGTTCGTCCTGAATCCAAATTGATGAAATGATTGAAACGTTGTGAAGATGACATCTAAAAATTTTGATTCATAACAAGGCCGCAATAAATATTAAATTAAATTATATATGAAACTATCAGACTGTTAATTGTTTCCATAAAAATTAGATAGTAACATTGTCCAAAGAAATAACATACAAAATGGACATATATGACAGAAGAAATTAAATCAAAATAACAGAGTAATATATTATAAAGAGATGGACAGACATCAACTGTTTGAAGTTCATATTTAGAGATCAACACATTCACACACGCGCGCGCGCTATACATACATACAATTACACACACACACACACAATATTTTATATATATATAATTAATTATTTATTTAAAATATGAAATTTTGATATATAATTCAAAACAAGAGCTGAAAATTTCAATATAATTATTTTGAATTAAATTGAAATAAAGTACCAAGCTTCGCTTGAAGATGGAACAGAGCTTGGTACTTTAATTCAATTTAATTCAAATAATTATATTGAAGTTTTCGGCTCTTGTTTTGAAACGAGAACTCTTATGTAGCGATGGAATCATATTTTTAAATAAATAATTATATTTATGCTCTACTTTTGTATAAGCACTATTTTTTTTAAAAATAATAACAAAAATACTAAAGAACTTTGGATTATTTCCATAACCAGTTCTTTCCTATTTTCTATATATTTTACACACACACACACACACACACACACACACACACACACACACACACACACACATATATATATATATATATATATATATATATATATATAGATAATCTTCATTCAAACATGTTTCATTGAATAGTATAAACATTGTGTTTTATCTAGTTCTTATTATATAGGTTTCTTGATGTTAAAAAGTTTTAAATATCTCAATACATATGCACCGTAGGATTTTATCCTAATCATATACTTTTATTTTTATTTAGATCATTCCTCAAAATTAGTTACAAAGATAAACTTATTGTAGCTGAAATTCCTTTTTTTTTCTAAAAACATAAAAAAACGCTCTGTTGTAATTATTTTTTTTATCTATGGGGAAATTTGGACTACAAATGGAAAATGAAAAAACCTATATAATATATGTACCAACTCTGAGTAAAGGGTGTCACCAATTGAAATATCTATTTTAGTAGAATGAGTTCTGAATGAATGAGTCAGGACACCAATGAGAAAAGAGTTTAAATCTAGTCCACATTTACCTTTTGTACTACGTTTCCGTGAATATACTATTTAACCTTATATTTATTCCGTGTTATCTTTCTATGGTTCTACACCATAACAATTTTAAAATTTGAAATTTATTCGTTTTAGCTAGAGATTTTTTTTTTGGCAGAAGAAACGATCCAATATAAGGAAGCTGTCCAAGACATCACAGCAGCAGAAAAACAGAAAAACATAACTTTTGTTTTTTATAACCGAATAACAATAATTTATTATGGATTAAAACCTCAGTTAGTGGAAATTTTTCTTCAAATAAGGCATTTGAAAAGGCATTATGCAAAATATGCAAAAAAAATTTTTTTTTTTGAAAAGGCATTATGCAAAATTTTTTTGAAAAGGCATTATGCAAAATATGCAAAAAAAAATTTTTTTTTTTGAAAAGGCATTATGCAAAATTTTTTTGAAAAGGCATTATGCAAAATATGCAAAAAAATTTTTTTTTTTTTCAAGCATTAAAAAAATTTTTGAAAAGGCATTATTCAAAATATGCAAAAAAAAAACTTTTTTTGAAAAGGCATTGATCAAAAAATTTTTTGAAAAAAACATTATGACAAAATATAAAAAGATTTTTTTGTTTTTAATTATTTTTAATAGAGTAAATCGCAAAGAAATTTATTTTTAATAATGTAAATTGACATAAAAAATAAGAATTTCGATTTATTTTATTAAAAAAATAATTACGATTTAACGTTGTATTTCATTTTTGAGGTCCTTGAAAACGAATCATTTTTTTTACGGCAACATGTTCTAGAACACTCCCTATTTAACAAGCCCCCCAGAATGCCACCCCCAACACAAGCCTAAACCTTTTTCAGGGTCTAAATTTTGTAAATTAACGTAAAACTTTGTTATGCCAATCTTCAAATTTGGGATTTTCTTTTTGCTTTAAAAATCTATTTTCGAAATACTGTTTTTTTTTACCTTTGAATACAGATCAGTAGACCCAGTGTGTAATACGTATCCCAAAAATGAAAAAAAGAAAAGTCAAAATTAATTAAAAAAATAATGAAATAGACACAACAGAAAGCACTTGTCAGATCAATTTATTCTTTAAACATTGTTAGTCCACTGCACCAAAGATTCCCGTGTGGTCTCAAGAAATATAACGCTTACATTTAAAGGATTCGTTCTCCGGAGACTTCAATTTACCATCGCATTCACTATGACGTGCCAAAAGGCAAGTGTCAAGTGAACTACTTATATTTACATGTGTAGATTCCCACTTTGAACTGATCTTTTGTCAAATCTGCTCTCGTGGGGAGTTGTATAAATAACATACACTCATCTTTAACCAAGAAATGTAATTTTTGCCACATGGAAAAGCTTGAAATCAGCTACAATTTTTTTCATCGTTCTCTGCTGTGATGTAAAACTTTAGAAACATTTCTCAGTTGTAATGAAAAAAAATCTTTTGTTCCGTTTTTATTTATTTATTTTTTCTTCTTCTTCTTCTTCTTCTTCTTCTTCTTAATTTATTCTTTCTATCTAACCCTTTTTATTACTCTTTTTTTATTTATTTTTTACTTTTAATCTTCTTTTTCACTTCTCTTATTTTCTTCATTTGCATAACAGGTTTTTTTTCCCTTTCTTTGTTCATGCCTTTTACTTTTTATATCTTTCTTCCTTTCCGTCGCAGACTTTTTTCTTTTTGTTTTCTCGTTCTTCACTCTTTTCTATTATCAATTCTTTCATTTTTTTTCCTTTTTATTTTGTTTTTTTCTTTTTCTTTCGAAATTTCTAGATCTCTTTTTATTCTTTTTTTTCTCTTTCTTTCTTTCTTCCTTCAAAAGAAACTTTTCTTCTTTCATTTTCTTTCTTTCTTTTTACACCGGTTATATTGGTTTTTTTTTTCTTTTTTACTTTTTTTTCTTTTTATCCTTCTTTTTTTGTCATTATCTTGAATTTTTCTTTCTTTCTTTCTTTCTTTCACGATCTCGCGATATTTTCTTTTTTTTTTTGTTTCTTACATTTTATTTTCTTTGTTTATTAGTTTCTTTCGTTATTTTTCTTTTATTTTTCGTTATCTCTCTTTTTACATTATTTTTATTGCTTGTCACTTTTTCTTTTCTTCATCATAACTTTCTTTCTTTCTTTCTTTCTTTCTTTCTTTCTTTCTTTGTACCATCCTCTTTTCGGCCTTTTCTTTGTTTGTTTCTTTCTTATTTTTGTTTTCTTTCTTTCTTTCTTTCTACAATTCTCTTTCGGTTTTTTCTCTTTCTTTTCTTTCTTTCTTTCTTTCTTTCTTTCTTTTATTTTCATCTTTTGTTCCTTCCATCCTTCCTTCCTTCCTTCCTTTTATTTTCATTTTTTGTTCTTTTCTTTCTTTCTTTCTTTCTTTCTTTCTTTCTTTCTTTTATTTTAATCTTTTGTTCCTTCCTTCCTTCCTTTTATTTTCATTTTTTGTTCCTTCCTTCCTTCCTTCCTTTCTTTCTTTCTTTCTTTCTTTCTTTCTTTCTTTCTTTCTTTTGTTCCTTCCTTCCTTCCTTCCTTCCTTCCTTTCTTTCTTTTATTTTCATTTTTTGTTCCTTTCTTTCTTTCTTTCTTTTATTTTCATCTTTTGTTAAAAAACCTTCCTTCTTTCCTTCGTTCCTTCGTTCCTTTCTTTCTTTTATTTTCATTTTTTGTTTCTTCCTTCCTTTCTTTCTTTCTTTTTTTCTTTCTTTCTTTTCTTTCTTTCTTTCTTTCTTTCTTTCTTTCTTTCTTATATTGGATCCATCTGCGGTCCTCCAAGAGACAGTATTTAAATGACATTCAATACGCTCGCATCTGGAGATAGGCAAACCGTATCACCCGTCGCATGTAAGCAGGATTAACATCTGAAATTCACAAGAAAGGAAAATATGTTTCAAAAATATCCTTACTCATGCCCGGACTTTCCCTCTTTTTTTCACAGTTCATTATTTTTATTTATCCGCTTTTTTTGAAAACCCTGCAAAAAAGCTTTCCTTCAGTCATCCAGGCAGTTGACAAGCACGGATTCAGGTTTCAGAGGAATAATGTGTTAATGTGATATATTCGTATATTCGTAAGTGAGTGGGGATAATTTGGGTACAATAGCTGAACAGCAGTGAAATACAATTAAATATAGTCACATTTTTAATTGGTATTTTGTTAGAAACAAAGGAAAGTATACTGAACTGTTATGTAATACCAATCGTCATATATGCCAGTGAATTCTGGACAATCTCCTCAGAGATGGAAAGAACACTGGAGGCATTACATATGTGGTTATAACAGAAGAATATTGAAAATATCATGGGATTTTTCTGTCAGGAAACTTTCAGGACAAATTAACAAATGACTGAAATTATTTTAGAAATTTTTTCTTTTTTTTTTTTAAGGAAAACTTGATGAAAATATCATTTTTTTTTCACATCTGTTATTCCCTTATTTAATTTTAGGAAATTTGGAGAAATTACATATGGTTCTGCACATGTTTATTTAGATTTTCCAAGCCTAAAAGATGTGGCACAAACGCCGAAAGTTTTTTACCAGTGAGAATCGAACTCACTATAAATTAATTTTGTATAGGGATAACTTCAAATAATTCACATTCAATCTGAATTACCTCAAACCATTATTCTACGTGCCAAATTTCCACCGCTTAATGTTTATATTAGTTAAAACAAAAATCCGGGAAATTTAAATTATCAATTTATTTATGAAAACAGGGCTCCAGTTACCCAAAATCTGCTCTGAAAATGTCATTTATATTATATATATATATATATATATATATATATATATATATATATATATATATATAAAAAAAAGAAAAAAATATTCATCTAATTAGAAAAACTTTTAATTATTTCTATAAATAAAATTTTTTTTCTATGGATTTAAAAAATTTAGAATATGTTTTCAATTTTCAATTTTAATTAGAATAATTTACGAAATTTTAAATCCTTTAAATTTCTGTATTACTTTAGTTAGGTGATATTGTTATTAAGCAAAACTATATTTACTAACCATAAATCTAAAATCTTAATACAAAACATCACACAGCAATATTTTAAAAAGAATTTTGAATTTTTTTCTATATGTATAAAAGTGCCGATTTTTGTAAATATGGACATTATTAGAAATATATACATGAAATTATTAGAAAATAAGAGCGATAACTATAGTAAATCTAAAGCCAAAATATATAAAATTCAATAAAAAATTGGATTACGGAGAATATTTTACTAAATTCTTAAAGATTACTGGATAGTTAAACATTATATAAAGAGAGAGCTCAGGTTATATTCTGTAAGTAAATTTTACAGATATATCCATTACAGAAAAAAATTTGACAAATCTCTGTCTGTCACTCAAGCTGTTAAATTTAAATAAACAGCTACTGCCGTGATAAAAATGCATTTCTGCAATATTTTTAACTTGAAGTAAATAATATTTATTTTAAAGAAGATTGATTAAACTTTTAAATCAACTAATATTCCTCAAATAAAATTTCAGAAAAGTATATTTTATTTTGGAAAGATTTTTTTTTTTATTAAAGAGGATTACATTCTGATGAGGGTTGCTAAAAAGGGTGCTAAAATCAGTGATGTTTAGCAATTTCAAAACGAAAACTAATTCTAGTAAATTTAAATTAGTTTTGAAATAGAGCAAAGTATTTCACTTATTGGAAATATAAAATTTAATCGATTAGCTTGAAATTAAAACTAAAATAGAAGCTTCAAGAAAGATTTTACCTTTTAAAAAATTCATTTTAAAACTTATGTATATATATATATATATATATATATATATATCCCACAGAAAAACGAAACCTAAGTATATATATATATATATATATATATATATATATCTGTGTGTGTGTGGGTGTGTGAATATATTGATAGTTATTTCTCAACTGGCGCCGAGATCTTCTGCAGTGGATTTAAGGTCTTCATGAATATATCTGGGGATTATGTGGTAGAACATTAAAGCGGGTAGAATGGAGATCAACGTGTTTTAGTGAACTCAGCAATTTTCAATCTGCTTACCTGAATCATCTTCAAGATCTAAAAGGTCAGCCAATCTAACAGTGATCTCATCTCACAATCCTCACACTTGCTCCATATGTGGCCTCCTTTGTAAATCACTAGCGGGTCTTAAATGCCACTTAAGATTATCGCACAAAATTTCATAACTGAATCAATAAATTGTCAGATTCTCATACGTCGAAACCGACAGGAGAGTCCATTATATATATATATATATATATATATATATATATATATACCATTGATGACCTAAATGATCAGTATATATATATATATATATATATATATATATATATATATATATATATATATATATATATATATATATAAAGTATTTGCACTGATATATATATATATATATATATATATATATATATATATATATACGTTTTATCATGACTAGTGCCATCACCTATATATATATATATATATATAACACACCACTGATATATATATATATATATATATATATATATATATATATATATACTTGGTATAGACTATCAATGTTTGTCAGGCTCATTACGATCTTTAACAAAATTTACTATTAGTATAACTTAGATGCTAAAAGGTTTTTTTTTTTACTCCAACTAAAGTATAACATTTTTAAAAATATCTCTGCATGAAATTAAAGAAAAAACATTTTGGTATTTTAATATTAACTGTAATAATAAGTAATAACTCTATAAGAATAAATATTATCTTAAAATATCCTTCCAGATATGTAAGAAAAAAGAGTCAAGAGAGCTAGATATGTCTTTTTTAAATAACGTGTATTTATCTCGAGTGTGTATTTGTATATATGTCTATGCGTTAGTGTGTTTATGTATCTCTCAGTCAGTGTGCTGAAAATATATTCTTCAACACTTACTCCACAATCCTCTGTAAAACCCTTCAGTCGACGACTGAAAGGCCAACTGGTCAATTAAAAATTTAATTTGCCCTTTCTCAAAAAATAGATTGTGCTAAAAACCTTATACTGTACGGAATAAATTATTTAAAATTGACATTTGATGACAAAAAGTTAAAATGAAAATATGTTCTTTGAAAATCAGGGCATACAAGTCATTAGAAATTCTTAAAAGATTATTTATGAAATTAAAGTAAGAAATGCCTTGCCTATTAAATATGTCTTCAGCCTAGATCAGGCACAGACCTACTCAGCCTGACTAGCCACTTTAATTTTATTTAATTCTTTTTTAATTACTTTCTTTCCTTTCTTTTTTACTTTCTTTCTTTTTTCTTTCTTTCTTCTTTATTATGAACAATATGAAAGAAATGTATTTCGGTCAATATTTTGAGGCACGGAGTTAAAACAATTAATTTTGACTCCAGCTGAAATCAAGAATGAACACGACGTACTACGAAAGTTTTTCTTTTTCCTGGTTTGAAATAGATATATTGAATATTGACTCACACGGGCTTTACAGGCCCAACTGTCAGGTGCTACAGATTATATATATATATATATATATATATATATATATATATATATATATATATATATATTTATTTGTATGTGTTTATTTGTGTGTGTTTGTAGAGAAAGTTAATAGTAGAGAAGAGAAAGAGAGAAAGATAAAATAAGATAAAAATATTCGAACAAAGTAAAAAAACAATTGGGTGTTTAAAATTTTATTCTCTTATCAACGTTTCGTTCAGTAAGGACATCATCAGGGAAATAT